GCAGTGGTTCCCAAACTTGGCAACTTTAAGACTTGTGGACTTCAACTCCCAGAGGTTGGCTCTGCTGGCTGGAGAATTCTGGGAGTTGAAGTCCACAAGTCTTAAAGTTGCCAAGTTTGGGAACCACTGGAATAGGGCCTACAGGGTTTAAATGATTAAATGATTTTCCAAGAATACACATAATTAGCATATACACGTGGAGATAGGGAAAACTAATGTCTGAGCATCATATGTTCAGTTCCATTTAAATCCTTTAGGAGGTCAAACAGCTGAACGCCCTCAGTCCTAAATCCAGCCTGTTCTTTATTTTATCTACCACTTAATGCTCTGCATTAAGATACTATATACCACATTCTTCCCCATTTCTGGTTTAATGCCACTGCTGTATTATTTATTTCCAGAAGCAGCAGAAGTTTGTGTTGTAGTTGTAAAACATACTTACAGTTTTAAAATTTATTTACACCCCCACACACATGCACGCACGCGCACACACACTCGACAGCATTTGTAAAAGAGAGTGTGTTTTATATTAAATTAAGATGCCCCATTTAACGAAGTAAGTTTCAGCATGTAAACATGGGCAGACATCTCTCTAGGTCAGGGGTGTCAAACTCAAGGCCTGGGAGCAGGATCTGGCCCGTGGAACCACCCTGGAAACAGTAAAGGACTGGCCCATGGTGCCTCTGCCAGCTGAAATAGAGCTTGGGAGCTCATTTTCTCTGGCAGAGTGCTCGGGCCACCACAGGTGTCTCCAACACGAGTGACGTCAATCTGACCATGCCCACCCCAGCATCACCCACTGTGGCCCTCTGAGTTCGATCCTGATGCAACCCTCAATGAAATCGAGTTTGACACCCCTGCTCTAGGTAGTATTGTTTGCCACACTTAATACTGTTTACTTTGTTTCCTCAAATCTCAAATCCAGATTCCGTATGTTTCTATTGTTTACTGCCTGATCCTTTTTAAATTGCAGGTGTAAAAACTGAGACTTAGGATCTACATTAAACCTATTGTCACATTTCTGGATTGTGATAGTCATTTTGATACAGATTCCTTCCTACTCACATTGTTCTAATCACCTGGAATCACTGGTTCCTTGTACATCTTTTGACACAGTTAAGATTTCCTTCTCCTCCATCTGGGTCT